TCCTCGCGGAAGCATCGCGAGACCACGACCGACAGCTAAAGCCTCGAGACTCTGGAGATGGGATGGTCCTTTGCCGTACAGGGTGCCAGTGCTGGAGCCAGCGCGGCTGACTTTGAGGTCTGTCTGGCCTGGAAGTCTGGAAAGACCACCAGAATCACCAAAAAAGCGAAGGCTGCTGCAGTCCAAGCTGTGGCTCGAGCAAATTGCTTCGGCAGCAACCGGATTTGTTCCGTGGAAAAGATACCACTCGTTGCCTTGAAGCCGTCAGCTCAGGCATGCTCTGAGCAGGACGCCCAAGAACAAAAAGCGGTCTGTCCAAGATGCACTCGCCGTGCAGACGGTTGGCCTCAAGTTTGTGCTGCAAACTTCAGGGAAAGAAGACTGGCGGAAGAAAGACAACGATACAGAGCAGATCCAGAGAAGCTGCAAATGCTGTAGCTAAAGCATGCCAAGGCAGAGCTGAACAGCTGGGTCAGCGAACTGGAATGTTGCCACAGCAGCTTGACGCAGATGACAGCCGGTGAGGCCTGCCATGGTTGCAGGCCCATGTACTTGCGGATTGAAAGCAGGGAAACTGCTACTGTGGCCCAGGGCCACTTCAAGTTGCAACTTCGAAGTGCGAGTAATTCCAATAAGTTCAATAGAGCGGGTAGCAAAAAGCTCAACAACACAAAGCCATGAAAGCCCTCTTGAACTGGCTCAAAAAAGAATGAATGAGCCCCATAGCCGCAGCTACTGCAATTGACTGGCGGTTGCTGTCTTTGCCACGAATGCAAGCTCACCTACTAACTACCTCAACACCCGCCTCAGACGCTGATGTGGCCTTCATCTAGCGTCAACGCTTCTGATCCTGAGCAGGGGTAGCAAGAAGCTGACAAAGGACGAGTTGCAAAGGACACCGACTCTCAACGGTGCAAGCATGGTAGCCGCAACAAGTTCAGAAGAGCTTTCACTCGATCGTCTTCTGCCTCTGAAATTTCTGGCTTATAGGCCGGCCGAATTAGCGCGTAGGGTTTAGGGATGCTTTGGATTAGATATGGGGTGTTTTGTCACCAAATGGGTGACCAGACCATTACTCCATTGGAGGAGCTATGCCCGAATCTTGAACCCGAAACCCCGAACTGCCAGATCTCCGTTTGAGGTCCCCGCGCGCAGCTTTTGCCGCTCAAGGCCCCTCGCTCCACCTGTAGGTTTTGGGAGCTGTGGGGAGGCACGACCCAGACTTCGGATAAAGCCGAGTTCCCGAGGAGGAGAAGCATTTTCTGGAATGAGGTTCCTTAAGAGATATCCTGTTCGATGTCAGAATCCTTGAGACAGCACTTCTTGTCTCCATGGGTAATCGAAACCGAATTGCTGTGGTGGCTGCTCCAGATTCTTGTGGGGCCTGGAGTACAGCGAAAGGACGCCATACCGTGGGTGCCTGAAAAAGACACCCTGAGCAAAAACACCCTGCGTTAAAACACGACCCACATGCGACAGAGAGAGCTTCCGGAAATCTTCTACGCTACATGCAAGGGACGGAGTGATAAGATAAGGCTATCCACGTATAACAAGATCGACGTTTTTGGCGTCCACACAGAACATGACAGCTCTGCTTCTGTGGACAAAACAAGAAATGCTCCCCGTTAATGCGTTGCACTGGAGGACTCAGATGGGCTTAGGTTGTCTAGGGCGCAGCTTCCCATGTGCTGTCGCATCATTTCGGTGGTGGAAAAAGCTTTGCAAGAGCAGTATACCAAACCGACACCCCAAACGCTGTAGCCTGAACTCAAGCGCGCACTGCTGGCCCGGCCTCTGTGACGTCCACACTGTGTGAGACGCAAAGGGTTTACAGATGTTTATGGGGTTTAGGGTTTAGTAGGGCTTATCAGGGTTTATTAGGGTTTAGGTTTGGTACCTGCAGAGAACTTCCGAACCTTCAAAGCCTCAAGACGCGTCAAATCCTCGACCGAGGCTGCAGGAAGAAGTCTACGACGGACGTACAGGCACGATGCTTCAACAACAAGGTACTGCTTATTCACAGTTCTGGAGAGATGTGTTCAACTGCACTTCCGAGTTGTGATTGCGCAATGAAATACACACAGGATAGGGGGTATTGTAGCCACACATCCCTATCGTTACATGTTGGTAGCGCTCGACACCTTCACCAAAAAAGCCGCGGCAGTACCCCTGGCCTCCAAGACCGCTCCAGCTGCAGCGGCAGCCTGGCGACAAATACTTCGTGACTTAGGAATCCCTTCCTACGTCTACACAGACGATGGTACAGAATTCAAGGGTGAGCTCAAGCAGAAACTAGACTATTTTGACATCGACAAGGTGGTATCAAGAGGACACGCCTACTTTGTCGAGCGAGCAATCAGGACTCTCAAGGAAGCACTTCTTCGCAGGATCTCAGCAGGCCTGGCTGCCAGGAACAGGTGGTACCAGCTGCTTCCCGATGTCCTGGCACAGTACAACAACAGGGCACACGCCGGAACGGGAGTGACACCAAACCAAGCTTACACAGACCCCGCGAAAGCAGAGCGTGCCAGGCAGACGATGATCGCGCAGGCCAAGCGAGCAGCACCACCTCACCGGAAAGGAAACGGCTGCGACGGCACGAAAAGTTCGACAGCCAGGCGGGTCGGGACCTCGGGTGGGATGAGGACCTAGTGCAGGGCAGAAGGGTTCGGGAGCCTACGGGGTCAAAGGGGACTCGCGCGCACAGCTCACTTGCTAGGGCACTCGATGGGCACTCCTACGGGGGCGTCCAAAGCTGTTAGGGCAGCCCCCAACCTATGGGGGCGACCGGGGGAAACCGAACGGGTGAGGGAAACTAAGGCGGCACACTTTTCACAGAACCTCACTCCTTGTTTGGCTGTCGTGGTGCTCGTTGTGCTCGTGGTGCGGGTGAAACTGCGGGGCTCGTCCTGCTGCTTCGGGACCGAAAGGCCTGAGGCGAAGACAACTCGCCCATCCACGAGCCGAACTCGTCAGCAGCTGGCTGTGGGCGATAGGGTAAGGGTCAGGGTAAAACCTAGGGAGGGACGAGGAGCCTACAGGGTCACTGAAACAGTCTGGAGCGAACAAACCTACGTCATCTGCTCAAATGGCATAGGGAGTTTGCGAAGTAAAAGCTCCCAGGTCCATCTCGAGAACTGCTCCTTGCCGATCTCCTCGAAGCTCCGAGTGCACCAGCTGTACACAACGTGTCTTTATCAGACCCTAGGTCTTCACAGATACAATGCGATTATAGTACTATTATAATAGTTTAGTAATTTTGGTAGTAGTAGTAGTAGTAGTATATAGTACTATTATTATGGTACTATGATACCAGCACTCCAGGGGCTGTTTCCAGAATTGCAAAACAAGAAAGAAGCTGGGCTGCGCCCAGCATGTGACCATGAAGCCACTGATGTTCCACTTCTAAGCCACCCTTCTAAGCCAGAGCGCTGTTCACAAACCTTTCGCGCACAAAGAAAGATGGCTGCGCCTTCAAACCATCTGTTTGTTGAAGCCCTGGAATTCTATGAACAGCGCGGAGCAAAGCCGGCATTAAAAACCGTCCTCGGAGCTTTGCTCCCACTCGCACTGCCCTAGGCGCACCTCGGGGGATCCGTTACTGATGCATCCAACTTCTAAGGATGCTGCAAGCAAAAGCTCGAGGTGGTACCGATCCCTTTAGATACACTTACATTGGTCAAGCGCTGGCTCCCCAACCGACGTGCCCTCCGAGCAACGAGCGGTGGAAAGGCGCTGTTGATCAAGGATGGGAATTCGGCCTCACGGACGCCTGCACTGCTAACCTTTTTACAAGCCAAAAGGGCTAAGTCCAAATAACTCAGGCAGGGAACCCCAAACCTTGAGAAAATCTCCGCTTGCTGAACCGATGTCGGAACAACATTGTCGGCAGAGCTTTGCTCCCACTCGCACTGCCCTAGGCGCACCTCGGGGGATCCGTTACTGATGCATCCAACTTCTAAGGATGCTGCACGCAAAAGCTCGAGGTGGTACCGATCCCTTTAGATACACTTACATTGGTCAAGCGCTGGCTCCC